GGACGGAGCGTGCGCGAGGGAAGACACACCGCCTGAGCGCCTCACCCCGTTTGACAACTCCAGACTCAGCTTTTTTGCCCGACGACGCATCGGCACCGTCATCATCGACAAATTGTCTTCAGTGCTGGCCACTATTTTCCAGGCTGGTCACGGTTTCAAGCTGGTCACCATTTCAAGCTGGTCACCATTTCAAGCTGGTCACGGTTTCAAGCTGGTCACTGTTCATGAAGTCGTGCTCGATTGTTTACCAACGCTCATTCAACTGTTTGCATAGCATTTTAACTGTTAAAAAGCCGGTGAACTGTTTGGAAAGCCGGTCAACTGTTGAGGAAGCCGTTTAACCGTTTAGACAGCCGGCTCAACTGTTTACCAGAGCAGACTCAACTGTCTACACACGCTCATTCAACTGTTGATGAGAACAGTTCAACTATTTACCAGGCCCGGCTCAACTATTTATCAGAGCAGACTCAACTATTTACGCACGCTCATGCAACGGTTCACGACGCTCAGTCAACTATCACCGAAGCAGGCTTGTTGCCACCATGGACTATTGATCACCGCATCTACCCGTCACCACCAAAGCCAACCTCAACAGTCATCATGGGTTTCCTGACCTCTGAGACAGACGTGAGTAATGCGTTCTTGCCCAAGTATAATGATTTTTGAGCGACCGATCAGCCTGGACGTGTGTGTATACATCCTTTACGTGTGTATACATTTCGTGAGACCAGATTCTGGACATGATACTACAATGCACGGCGAATTCGGTAACAGCAAAATGCTGGGTTTATTCGTTCTCTATACAACGCTATCTTGGAGTGAAAATAGGCCCTGGAATGCGCTCTCATGGCCCTACTGCCAGTCTCTTCGCCCGTGGTCCGAGCCTACACAAGTGAACTATCGATGTTGGCGCAGGTCTTGGCTTCTTCAACTGTAGAGCGAGAGTTGAATACTGGTCTCTAGCACCACGTAGAGGTGCCTGCGCTTTGCTAGAGTTGCTTGTTCTCGCAGCACCCCCCTGCGAGGCTTATTGATGACGCAGACCTATCCTGCGGGGTAGTCTTGATCTCGCAGCACCCCCCTGCGAGGCTTATTGATAACGCAGACCTATCCTGCGGGGTGGACTTGTTCTCGCAGCGCCCTCCTGCGAGGCATATTGATAACGCAGACCTATCCTGCGGGGTAGTCTTGATCTCGCAGCACCCCCCTGCGAGGCTTATTGATAACGCAGACCTATCCTGCGGGGTGGACTTGTTCTCGCAGCGCCCTCCTGCGAGGCATATTGATAACGCAGACCTATCCTGCGGGGTAGTCTTGATCTCGCAGCACCCCCCTGCGAGGCTTATTGATAACGCAGACCTATCCTGCGGGGTGGACTTGTTCTCGCAGCGCCCTCCTGCGAGGCATATTGATGACGCAGACCTATCCTGCGGGGTAGTCTTGATCTCGCAGCACCCCCCTGCGAGGCTTATTGATAACGCAGACCTATCCTGCGGGGTGGACTTGTTCTCGCAGCGCCCTCCTGCGAGGCATATTGATCACGCAGACCTATCCTGCGAAGCATGTTTGATAACGCAGAGCTTATACTGCGGAGCCGTGGCCATGGAGACTCTCAAGCCTGCAGACAAGAGATGGAAACCATGACACGGGAGTGTGAGGAGGAAAGTCCTGATTTGTTTTGGGCCGGAAATCTCGCGCCTTTTATGTCAAGTCGGCTACGTCTCTTCACAGAAACCCCCTGCGCAAATCCATAGCAACGGCCACTGATTTGGGAGGGCATTGGAAAAGTTACATGGAAATCTTTGGCCAGGAGACACCCCCCCCTTGATCCGTGGTTGGCCTCATGTTGCCAGGGGTAACTAGCCCTTGGTTCCATCACACCGATCATATAGACTGTTCATTTCTCGCGATGGGTTACATTGGCGACTGGGTACCAGAATTGATGCAATGGATTCCATGGATACGATCGCTGTGGCAATGAAATTGCGTTACATTGCAAGTTGCGACAGATGTATTACAATATAGCATTCAAAGAGGGCTAAACGCAATGGCCGCAAGTGCAGTCATGGGTACTATTGCGATTAGTGTCGCGCATCGATCATGAGCAGCTGCAGCGCACGTTGTCCTTGTTTTCGCCAGACTCTGAGAAACCAAACAGTGGTATTCAGCAAGATGCACGAAGGACTGGACCTTAGACCAACCCACGTGCTATTTAAGGTTTAAGGTGCCGGCCGATCATTTCGATCTCGCCGTCCCACTTTCCACCTCTCATATGCACTTTCTTCCTGACAATGCTTTGGCCATTGGTAAACTCCTGATGAGAAGGTAAACTTCTGATAAGGTCAATTAATTGCTAGGAATGCTATAAAGTATCGTCTTGCTTATCTCTGTAGTTGACGCGCGTGGTAGGGCAAAACCCGAGACTTCACGAGTACTTTGTAAGTACCCTGGTAAGTACGCGGACAAGACTTGGGCTGATCTACGGGCCCTGCTCCTACCGCTCAAACTTACCGGCCACGGACCCGCTGCGCTCCTGTTTCCAACAACCTTGATTAGTGAGGCATCTGCAGTCCATCATGACTCACAACCCCACCGCGCCTGACCAACCAAACGCTAGCCTGTCCTCTGGAAAGGCATCGATCACTTTCTAGAATTTCCATGTGGCGCAAGACCCACTATTGATGTTACATCCTGGACCACGAGCCATAGAACTACATCCTTGACCGGACTTACACGCTAGCTCTAGAACCTTGTCTCTCTCTAAATTTGATCATAACAGCGAGCTCGTGTACGCATGCTGCTCATAACATGTTCTCTGAAAGCGCATAGATAAGACACCTGATAGTCGGGAATAAAATTACACCTCAAGAACATTCTCGATTGCTAATGCGTCATGGCCTGTCTGACTTAAACCTCTATCGCATCATTGCCCTTCGCACATATTTGGAGCAGGGATGTGACTTGCATCGTGGCACGCGGGTTTAAGGGAACCGAGGTTTGACGGTCGCAAATTGCCTTCTGACCTCACTCGAGCCAACGGAGTGATTCCATCAACACCTGACATTGTTTATTCAAACGAAGCCGAGTAACCCGATCAGCTCGGTATTGGAAGTCTTCGTGGCATGTAAAAGGACAGATTGACCCCTTGATCTCGATCGACCCTAACTTTGGACCTCGAGAGCAGACACTCGTGGATCTTGACGTTGTTAGGCTGATCGCATGCATGAAGCTTCGCAGCCAACATGAGGGGCGTCTCCCCCCGATGATCGGGACAATCGACATCAATCAGCTCCTCTCTGGCAAGGCTTGCGACAGCATGAAGGTCTCCGTAGATGACAGCCAGGTGCAGGATGGTTTGGCCGCGGTGATTCTTCTCATTGATCTTGGCCCGAGGATCCCGCAAGAGCATTTCCAAAATCTCATACTGTTGATATTCTAAAGCCACTAGGAGTGGCTGCTGGAATTTCTGATCTTGACTGTAGAACTCAATGTCTTTGCGGCTGAGCAGCTGCCGTACGATTGAAACACTGCCCTGTGTGATGGCCATCGACAGCGCAGTCTGACCGTAGGCATTGCATCGAGAAGCACGAAGATCATCATACTTTAATAGCAGATCGATAGCCGCGTGATCTCTGGCTTGCACGGCCAGCATCAAGGGCGTGTGTCTTCCATGTATCTTGTTGATATCCGTGGTGCACGTGCAGAGGTACTTCTGGAGCGCATCAGGCTGGGAGAATTGTTGCTCCAGTGGAGGGCTAGGGTAGGATAAAGCGGGTGACATGGTGGTGGTGAAGATGGATGTATTGGACAAGATATGAGGGATCAGGTATTGTTAGATTGATAAAGGTGGTATCAAGATCTGGATGGTGGTTTATATATGCTTGCAAGGACATCCACCAGATCGTTGAAAAGCAGTCCATATATTCAAACATAGTCGGCTGCATTCTTGAACAGATATGTCGAGTCGGGATGCACAGAATGAACGCTGTGTTCTGCATTCGTTCGATGAATTCCACCTAGAATTCCGATGGTACCCTGCAAAACTGACCATGACGATAATGTTTGGTGGCCAAGAGCATAGTACATATTGGTGCTAGAAGGTGATATTTTGAAAAAAAAAGCAGATCTGGCCCCAGGATCTAGCCCTGTGCTCCGAAAACCATACATGACATCATCTGGGATCTGAGGCTATGATCCCAAAAGGAAGATGCTCTGCCAGCCCTTGCCTCGAATGGGGTGGCACTAGTTGGGTTCTAGAGATCATGCAACGACTGGCTCGTGGCAAAGAATTCCGCACACATCGCAAATGCTTTTTCTTTACCGTGAAATGTCTATACAGACTATGCTCTCCACAAATTATTTGTACCCTAAGGACGCATTATCCGCAAGGAAAAGAAGAGGTTGGATCATACTCACTCAAACCATACGATTTTAATAGGCAGATATCTTGAAAACAATGTCGGACCTACGACTGAAGTTGCACCATACTAATGAAAACAGCCGGTCCTTTTCATAACCCAATTATGCTTTGAAGGGCTTGCTTGTCTTGCTGACCCAAATAAGGCGAAGCACGGGTAAAAATTAACACTCTGTTGAGTCGTCATAAGCCATCCTTTTCTTGTCGAATCCCGGACCAATTTCTCGAGAAAGATCCAAAATTGAGGCCAATCTCGAAATCTCATCGCCCGTATCAAAAATTGTTTGTTGCCAATATTACCATAGTGAGGCACAGTTCAGCACAAGAAAAATCCAGTGTGGATCATTATCTTGTTCTTTTTTTTCGACATTTGGCCCATTTGGAAGGGCATTCGCAGCCACTTATACCAAATTGGCTGACCATTTTTTGACTGCAGACTTTTCAGCTAATACCTAGCCTTGAGTCTGGGGTATATAAATCATGAGAAATCTTGATTCCCTTCATTACACCTACCAGCCTTTTCCTTTTCAGCCAAGAAGTCCCCAAGCCTCCATCAAATCCGACAGTCATTTATCTCCTTGAAATGGCTCCAAGAACTCGCTCGTGTAAGCACCAAGAAGACAGGAACGATCCTGAACGGGTGACTCTTCTGGGTGATACTTGCGACTCCCCAAAGAGAACGGCTTCCCTTCGGCATGGGCGAGATGCTTCCGGTGTTTCCCGACGGATCAGAATCCGGGACGCAGCAAAGATGACTATTCGAATGCGGATTCGGAGCCAAGCCCGTGAGCAACAATTTTCGCTCCTAGTCGGACGGCCGGACATTGACCGAATTGGTCCCACCAGGAATGATCGATCGAAAGAAGAGACGACCACCCCGGAAGCTCTGAGACTAGACTGGATGCGCAGACTCCGCCCCAAACCGCATCGTCGTGTCTAGTTACTGGAAAGAGGAGAACAAATGGGAGAGATGACGGGATATACACCCAGGAATAGCGAAGGCCGTATATCTTTGTCCTTTGCAGCAATGCATGGGAAATGTTTTTGCAGTGGCTTTTGATCAAACTAGTCTAATCAATGAATGATTTTTATTGCCCTTGCTTGTCATTATCATTCAAGAGCTGCGGAAAATTGATCATTCACAAACTGTGAAGTAAATGTAGATGCGTTTGAAAATTATAAACATAATACTTCTCCAACAAACAAAGTCTCTTGATACCAGATGTCTCCCCAACATGTGCGTCCAGCGTTGCCAAATAGGTTCCAAGGTTGACCCAAGAAGAGGATAATACAACCAGTTAGACTGGTTTAATTCTTACTTTCCAAGACTGTGAAGGGCCATAATATTGAGACAATTTGTATGCAGATCTCTAATAGAGATCGCAGTCCTCCAGCAACCACGAAAAGCCCCGATCGTAATCGAACCCTTCTCCTCAAAGCCCACTGTCATTGGAATCACATCTCCAGACAACAAACTTCATGAGCCGTACCGCTCACACAACTAATCTGTCGAGTGATGCCCAGATGAAAACGGTGATCAGCTGAGTCTATCTCTTGTCAGCTTCACAGCCATTTGCAGGACCAGCGAACTTACCTCAAGTGCGATTATCCACGATACCCGCAGAATGCCGACGATTGCAATGACCAGTAATATCAGAGTCAGACCCGCTAAGTAATACGTGATTCGCCTGAAGGTGGTCTGGCCTTCGTTCTCGTGCTGAAGGAGCCACCAATACCACATCGCCGCTGCAAAATAGTCCACACAGAGAATGAAAAGACCGCCTTGGTGAATAGATTCTTGAACGAACGCTCCCACAAGTGCGACTGCCAGTGTGGCCACGGTAGAGCATATGACGAGCAATCGGGCCAGGATAAGGAGCATTCGCGGTGCCCCTTTATATGGCCGTGGCTGAGAGTTGATTCGAAGGAACTGTAACGCATTAGCTCCGAAGGCATTCTCAAAGGTCCATGTAACACGTACTACTTGAAGTGGTGGCAGGATGGTCGAAAACCAAAGCAGGACTCGACTTCACACCGGAGATCGTTCGGTCCAGAAGAGGCCTAGAAGGACAGCAAAGAGGTTGCAGGACGTCGTACCCACCGCATAATCGATCTTGTAAGCGGACCACTTGGATCCAAAACGATACAAAATAAGTAATCTGATGAGACTGAGAAGGAGAATCACCGCCATCAAAACAGTTGGGACATTCTGCTTGGAGATCATATTCACGGTTGCGGACGATTACGAATCTTGATTTTCTCCTAGCACGCGAGAGCCTTTATGTACCTGAGAAGTGGACACACGGATGCTCCTTCATTATAGTCCCCAGGAATTTGACTTTTCACTTTCATGAGGCTTTCTAGCTTCTTGGTGTGTTTCTGCGTATTGGCAAAAAATTCAAAGTAAGACCGGTACCTGAAATGTGGCCTCCGAAAAAAAAAAATCAGGGCTCAGTTTGCTGACTGCAGCGGCGCAGCGGAATTTTTTAAATTTTTTTAAAGTGTTGTCGGAAGGAACACTTTCTGACATTCCTGTGCCACGTATTCTGAGCTTAAAATTACTGTAAGACAGGATTTGAAGACAAGACGAGAGAGGACACATTTGTGCTAAATAGCCTAGACGTGCATGGAAAATTGATAGTGCGCAGAGTCAAGCCATTTGATTGGCAACCCAGGGTTGATCAGAAAGAGCAGGGTATTAAATTGAATAAGACGAGATTTCATTCACGAGCGATGAGGATAATATCAATAATTGGCCATAGGATGTACTGTATAACTGAAAATTGTGTCAAACAGACAAATTTAAGCCCGGATTTGATTTATTTGATTTGAGAGCAGCGCTGATCTCTCGTTAATTGTTCCTCTTTATATTAAGATCCTTAGATAGATTGAATAAATCCATCAAAACCCTCACATGCAGAATATCAACCCTGGTGTTTGGATCGCGTTTCTGCATATGTCTAGCTGTCATTACGCAAAATATCTGCTGCAATCTTCTCCGCAACAGCATCTAATAATAAGATAAGTTAGAAAACTGAAAATTTTTGCAGGAGAAGAGTCCTATCGTCATTAAAACTTACAAACTGTTGCCATTGGATGACCGGGTGGTAGGAATGGAAAGATGGAAGCATCAACAATTCTGAGGCTACTCACACCATAGACCTTGCCTTGGGTATCAACGACAGCCATGGTGTTATTCCGACGTCCCATAGCGCAAGTGCAAGCCGCATGATATATGGTGTTAAAGGATTTCTTTATGATGTCTTCAATTTGTGCATCAGTCGATACATTCAGGCCTGGGAACGCCTCGCTACTTTCAACGCGGAACGGTTTCAATATGGAAGAACTCCAAAATTGACGCAACCGTTTATAGCCAGCAATAGCAACCTCAATGTCTGCTTGGTCGCTGAAGTAGTTAGGGTTGATCTGCGGGTGTACTGAATTATCTGCTGCTGTAATTGTGAGGTTCCCTCGCGAGCGAGGCATACAAATCGCGGCAGCCAGCGTGGCATAGTTAAACCCGTCATTAGGATCACTACCACGCGACTGAGATTGGTAGCCAAGGTAGGCACTAATGCTGAGATATTCAAGTTCGGGCCAGTCAGCAGGGTAACGGTCCAAGGTGCGTAGAGTCTTAGTAGATACAGTGCTCCGAAGTGGCTCAGGGACTTTCTCCCACCCAATGACATCGGTGGTGGGATTTGTGTACATCCCAACAGCTAGCTTGTTGAATTTTTGAGCTGCTTCTGCAGCGAAATTGGGGTCCTGGAGCGCAGACATTGTCTGTGCATTCACTCTATACGATGGACCGAAATATACATGATCTTGCATATTCTGACCAACACCTGGGCGATCAGCGATCACCTCAATCCCGAGTCGACGTAAAATCGCAGCCGGTCCTATACCAGATACCATGAGAAGCTGTGGTGAACCAAATACACCTGCTGAGACTATGACCTCTTTCTTTGCTAGCAGAGTATATCTTATACCTTGGGTATCGAGTAAGACTCCCGTAGCAGTTTTATTTGTTCCAAAGAGGATTTTCTTCGCCATCGTCGATTGATACACTGTATAATTGGGATATTTTAGTGCTTTTCGCAGGAATGAGGTCTCAGACGACTCCCTGGTCATAGTCGTAGCGTTGATGGTAAACATGGAGTACGACTGGCCAAGTAGTGAACCACTCTGGAAACCATTAATAATCGGGATCCCGATGGCGAGGAGGCCCTCAGTCACCCAGGACCCAAAGGCTTGTGCGTAATTCGGAAATGTAACCGATAATGGACCCTTGCCATTGCCCATGACGGCGGCATCATACTTTGGAGTCGAGTTTTTGAAGCGTAGCTGCATATTTGGCGGTGTGAAGTGAAGGCTATTTTCGAAGAAGGGCAGTAGTTGGTCCAATGCATAGCTTTGATCCCCAACTTCATCAGCCCACTGCTGATATGACGAAATGGTGCCGCGCTGATAGACCATATAGTTTCTTGCCGAAGAGCCGCCTAAGCATTTTCCACGAGGATAATGCAATTCAGCCCCATAGGCATGCTATAAAACGCGATTAGAGGAAGCCTTCACACCTTGCTCGACCTATTAGACTAACCTCTTGAGGAGTCGTCATGAATCCCCAGTCAACAAGGGGTTGCCAGTCATTCTTTCCTTTACTATCAAAGACACCGTCATATGCTGGTACTTCGCTGAGGTTTCCATTGGAGATCTCATAGAAACTGCCTGCCTCGATGACTGCCACGTTCACACTCCGCTTTTCTGCTAGCCGGGCTGCAATCGCAAGACCGGCATTTCCACCCCCAACCACAATGTAGTCGAACGTAGCATTATCGCCAGGAATTCCAAACGATGACCCCAGCAGCTGACGAGCCTTCAAGTGGAAGGGCGATTCGTAGTTAGCCACTGCAAACGTGGCGAAACTTGCGACACAGGCGCAAAAGGATATTAAATTCATCGAAAGCACCCCTAACCCGTACCTGGTGATGTAAGATTGTGAGATGTATATTAAGGTGGGTGGCAGATAATTTACTTTTAACAACAAGATTATACCCTGCTCCCTGAATTATGATGGTCCCCTGTACGCCAGCTCCTGACTGTTATCGGGGCCCGCTCTGATACCGCCAGCGGCTAATTAGAGCCTGCGCGGCGAGATTGCATTCTCCAATTACATTCCTCGTCAGTGGCGGTGTGCCGTGCAGTCAAAGTTAACGAGCCAACGCAAAATTCGCGACATTCCTCCTCCCTAGCCGGCTCTGGTTGGCATTCGACACCAATGCTCAGCCAGAGCGCCATTAGCTACTGAATCTAAATGGGAGTCCAAGTTCCACTTCAAGCGAGACTAACTATATAGGCTTAGCGGCAGACTAAAATTTGCGAACTGAGGACCCAGCCGATCGAAGCTAGGTGTGATCTGATCGTCATGCCGTAGCTTTGAGCTCAAGCGGCTTCCAGTAGCGAGTTGATTCGTGGACAGCAATATGAATAGTCGCTGAATTACGGCTACAGAAGAGGATATTCCAGCCGTTCAATAGTAACCCATTGATAATAACTTTGTATTACGGTAGCTAGAAGACCATGAGGGTCACTTCTGGTAGCACGTTGCACTCTACAACTGGTTCTACAAATGGTTAGACTTAGGGCATATTTTTTCCACCCTCATGTGATTAGCCAGGGATCCACAAAAGCTCACTCGTAGAAGTCGTTCAGCTGGTTTCTAATAAACTCGATTTTGACCATTCCACGTTAGTAGAAGAATGGCCGGGACGATATCGGCGTATGTGAAGCAAGATTTTATGGGCTAGAATGGAAAGATTTCGAACAGAAAGAGTAGAGATTGCGACATGTATCAACTAGCGACGTCACAATTTCTAACTCACGGTGTAACTTGTGAAGATAATGGCTATCAGCGGCGCGGGAGATGTGGGCCCTCTGAAAACGTCCTCGTAATCCACTTTGCATGCATGAGGGTAGCTCAATCTCCGCGAGTGGTTGAGCAACGGCCCTTTTATTCACACTACATCGGCACACACCCTGAAGATCTTCGGAATCTGTTGGAGCACCTGTATTTATGGTATTGTCCTATCACCCTGATACGCACTACTCATGCATTAGGGTTGACCTGTATCTATAGTATTGGGTCGGGACCCACAGAACTCCACAACAATACAACTACAACTACCATACACATGCAACAACAGAATGACAAAGCCGAGCAGCACCCGGCCGCATTCGGAGAGAAGGCGGACGCAGAGTGCCAAGTCCATTACGTATTGACTAATATGTACCCTTTTCCTCTTTCAATGTATGCAATTGAACAGATTTTACAATATTCCTCCAATTTTTCTTCAAAATGCTCATCACTATAATAGGCGCGGGATGGAACGGCTGTCACTTAGCCTGTGAGCTCTCTGAACTTGGATACCAAATCATTCTTATAGATCGTGAGAGCCAAATCTTCGCCGGTACTTCTGGGTTATTTGGCATTCGTCTCCATCGAGGTATTCCATAGACCTCTCACAAAGGTTACCCAAGAGCACTAAATTAACGCAGATAACAGGGCCACACTACCCTCGTTCCAAGGCAACTCGTGTTAACTGTCAGAAGAGGTAAATTCTTGTTTAATGTAACAATTTAGGAGCGACACTAAGAACAAATAGCTTCGACCATTTCCGCGAGAAATACCGCGGCCTTGTTTTTGAACACGAGTTTTCAATTTATGCCAACGGACTTGTTGACTCAGAGAACTTCCCGTCCAAGGTCTCCGATGATACTTTTCACAAAGTTTGTATGGAATATCGCGGATGTAAAAAGGTCGACCCCGCTGTGCATTGTTTAGACGGGATAAGTTCCGCCTATGAGCTTGATGAACCGAGTGTTGCAATCGGATCATGCGCGCGGAGCTGGTTTGAAAACAAACTGGAGAAGGCCAGGGTATCTGTCATCTTGGATACAACTGTTTTACACATTAAGCAAGCTGCTATCCCCAACAAGACAAAGCCAACCATCAGCATCACCATTCAACAAAATAAGACTGCTGGTGAGAAGACGAAAGTAAGGCACTCCACCTTCCTAACCGATGTCGCGATAAATTGCACTGGGTTCCACGAGTTCGTCCCTAAAGCCATATCCGATCCTACATCCCCCATTTACTTTGAGTATACATACCAAGTATGTCTGGCTCTAAGGTTCAGGGATAATAGGCCAACTTCCAATAAACCCGTTTCGTTCACCTGTATGGATGGCTGGTTTCCGTGTCTTATGCCTGCTATATCCGACACTAAAGACAGTATGAAGCCCCAGCGAGACTACATCCTTACTCACGGTGCCTATACAATCTTGGGCTCCTTTAGCACCTTAGACAAAGCCCATCACCTTCTCTCCAACACGCTTACAGATGAAATTGTTGCAGCGAATATCTGTGGTCCGGCTGAAAGCGAGATGCGGCGGTTCTGGCCTGAATTCTCTTGTCGTTTTACCTATGAAGGCTGGTATGGCACTGTTCTGGCTAAACCAAAGTGCCCAACTGAATTTCGGAGTGGCTTTACCTTCGAACACCAGGGTGTTATCCATGTTTTCCCCGGAAAGGTTAGCAATGTCATTGATGTTTTCAATGAAGTCATAACCTTGTTACGAACGAAGGATGTCACGAGTGTCTCGAGTGACCTCATTTTACAAGACCGTGGATTCCGTTTCCTTGCTGGCGGCGTTTTCCATAACGGCCTAAGTGAGTTGCAAAAGAGAGCTCTGAAAAACGACCGCAGCACGAGCAGCTTGCAGACATTGGACCGCATTTTAGGACGTGTACAAGAAGAGTAGCTTTGGAAAAATTAAGGGTCAATGATTGAGGTAGGAAGTGAAGTGTTTATGAATGGAATGTTGTTGACGCATTTTTATTAGTTTGACAGCATTTCTCTTGATGTGTTCTTTTGAGGACTTTTTCACTAGCGTTAAGAGGCGAGTAACGCATTTCACCCCTGAATGGGTCAACATTCCGCGAGTCACCCGAGAGACCAAATTGCCTTCACCAAATAAATATTCAGTAAATATCCAAATTAATTAAAAATTAAGTTCCTTTATGTAAAATGCATTTGTTTTTTGAATGATCTGAGATTCTACAGATAGAGCAGCGTCATGGCGTCCGTTTCCTTGGTCGTCCTACATCACCAGGCGGTTCTGCTGTGCCTTGTTCTCGTGTAAGTTGTCCTGAAAGTGGTATGAATTAGTTTTAAATAGGTCGGTGCCTTCTTCAATGGTTAATCCAGTATCATGATATATTCTGCGCCGGGATCTACTGGATTTTTGCATTCTCGTTGCCACCGGCGGTTACAGCGAGCTTTTTTTATCCCACGACAGCGAATCGCTTCAAGCCTCACTCGGAATGGTGAATTCGTACGAAAATAACTCGAAATTGGTTTAACCAACAAATATATGATGACTGTTTTCTTGTCCCGTTGCCGAGACATGAGTTTAGAAACTTTTTATAGAGTTGTCTGCTTTTTACTGAGGGCTGCTGTAAGTTGCTGGTTGTGGAAAACGTGAAAGTTACTGTATAGTACGTTGCGAAAGTAGTACAACTACTCCACTCTCCGATTGACTTTTTTGGTCCTTATGCAAAAACCCACTAGTCTATATTTGGAATTCTTTCGGGAGGTACATATGTATTCCTTCGTACGTAGCTTACAGAATAATTTCAGGCATGTATACTCTTGTAAATTCAATATATTGGTCTCCTCCCTGCCCCTCTTCTGAAGCCGGTTTCCCCAGGAGGCACCGTTTCACGATGAATCACAAGTGGTCTAACCAGCAATGGCTCCAAATCTAGCTTCTTCCAAGCTTGAACTTATCTATGATATGAGATATAGTGGCGAACTATCTATAAACAAGATGGTATAGGCCGCTGGTTGCAACAAGAGCACAATCTCGAGAATCTTGTCTAATATAAGAATTTTTGGTAGCGTCAAAGCACTACCCATTAAAGGTGGACGAACCCGTAATTTCACTCTAGTTATGCTTGAGGCTTTATGTGATCATCTGATTGAAAAGCCTGCCCTATATTTGGACGAATTCGCACTTTATTCGCACTTTAAGCTACGAAATGGAGCATCAGTCGTGCCCTTATGTCTAAAGGCTGGTCTGAAAAGACTGCTCGTGTTAAGGCCTAAGAAAGTAACCTCGACCTTTGGGACGAATACTGTTATTTTATCTTAGACTTTAAGTCTTACTATCTTATCTATGTCGATGGATCTGGATGTGATAAAAGGATAGGCTTCCGGCGAATGGGCTGGTCCCTAAGAGGAAAGCCAAGAATTGGGGCAGGAGATCCGCTAGATAGGTTTCTCCAAATTATCTCATCGAGTCTGCCCTGCCCGAAACTCCGACTATGAACAAGGCGTTTTCGAGCCCGCCAGGTGGAATGCCGTCAACTTTCCGAGGATCCCAGGCACCTCGGGCTAAATCCTCTGGATATTTTTGGAAGGGAAAAAGACACTCTGCTCCACAACCTCCACGTCCAAAGCACCAAGACTGAAAATTATCTAGACGGAAACCATGAATACAAACCTCGGGCCCAACTCAGCCAAAAGAACCGCCGATCTTCGATGCCCTACATCTCGTGCGACGACGTCAGCCCTGAAAGAGCGAAATTCCTCGAACGGATTCGCGCTGCTGTGAAGTTCCGCTTCAAGAAAAGCAAGAGTACCGACAGATTCAAAGCGTGTTGTACAGCGAATCTGCGAAGCGGGATACTATGCTGGCGGAGGCGAACGTGCTTGAAGAAGAGATCTGGTATCTCAAAAACCAGGTTTTGAGCATGTAACAACATGTGACTACCAGCAGATCAGCATTCAACTCGGGCTGATGGCCTAAGATAAGGTGCTTGGAGCAGGCGCCAACGCAAGACAACGCCCATCGACGTTTTCGGTTACTACGAGGTCCGACGGGTCGGCGGGTGGGAAAAGTAGTGGGATCGAGTCACAGGCCCTTCCAATTGCTGATGATCCTGAGCACGGGGATTTCCCAGACAGTAAATTTGATGGCTTCATTTACGTGGCATATGCGTAGCACGTCTTCCACTCAAAAGAAGCGCCGAGCGTGGACTCGGACGATTGAGAAGGCTAAAGCACTGCATTGGAAACAGTTCCTAGATGAAGCGGGTGAAGGGAAGCTCTGGAAAGCTGCGACCTATATGAAGCCGCGAGAGACCTGGGGCTGCGTCCCAGCACTACGAGTTGGCTCAGAGGAGCTCACCCAGAACGAAGATAAAGCGAAGGCCTTTCTTGAAGCGTTCTTTCCCGCAATGAACACACCCGATCCTAGCCGACCAATGTCACCACAGCAGGACCTTCAGTGGTCCCCGATCACCGAACTTGAGATTGAACGATCATTGAAAGCAGCAAAAGGGACGACCGCGCCAGGGGAGGACAACCTGCCGATGCTGGTTTGGAAGAAGTTATGGGTATATTTGAAGACCTTTATCACGAGTATCTTCGCAGCGTGCATAGACTTAGGACACCACCCAAAACCATGGCGGAGCGCGAAAATCATTGTTTTATTGGTGACCTCACGCAGTCAAGAGGAGCAAGAAGAGTTTAGTTTGGCCGCAACGGGTTACTTGTCGCTGCGGTCGTAGACCGTGGCGTCAGATAGGCCCCGTCCGCGCTCCCTTGAAGGGAGGCAATGTGTCTGTATTGTAGTGGATTCTATATACAGAGGGAAGGTGGGAGGGACAAAATTGACACTTGACTGCCTGAGAGATGACGAGCTACCCGCAGAGGCCATCAACTGACTCTCGTGAGGCAGTTGTAGGAGGAAGAGGCCCTCGGAAATGTCGGTGTAGATATCACGTGAGGCTACAGACATGGTGAGGCTACAGACATGGTGAGGCTACAGGCATTGTGAGGCAACCCCAATAAAACCACTCCCTTTATTGGTGACCTCACGCAGTCAAGAGGAGCAAGAAGAGTTTAGTTTGGCCGCAACGGGTTACCTGTCGCTGCGGTCGTAGACCGTGGCGTCAGATAGGCCCAAATGACCCGGGCCAAACTAGGATGGTGGAGGGGACGGTGGTGGAAGCAGCAGAGACAGCGGGGCCGGGGAGCCTGTCTGGAACTGGTGGTTGAGCTTGTAAAGGACTGACGCATTCGTCGTAAAATAGACCCTGAATGCCTCCGAGGTCCATCTCCCTAGCATCTGAATCTGGTCGTCGAGTATCCCACTATCGTGCGCATGCTGAGCCGCACCCTTCCGAAAGCTGTGACCTGAATATCCGTGTGTCGGTATCCCAAGTGCTCTTAGCTTAGTAGATAAGGTCGAGAGGAAGTTGTTGCGGCCAAATGGTCTTCTGCCGAAGGAGAACAATGGGGCGTCGGGCCCTTTGGGGTCGAGAAGTAGCAGTTTCCGAAGGGCGTCAACTGGGCATGCGCCGTCTCCCGTCTTTGCAAGAATAATTTGCACCCCTTCGTGACGGCGGTCCGTCTTACTGCGCTTGAGTGTGAGTTGCGCGTGGTCTAACGAGGGCGAGAGTCTGACGTCTGAGCGCGTTAACTTTGTGGCGGAGAAGATAGAACGTGTGCGGAGGTCTTCAGTCTTATAGGTAAATTCTCCGAGGCGGAGAAACCCAGCAAATGCTACCCGACACGCGGTTGCGAAGTTCAGGTCGTCTAGGAGGTTCGCAGTCATCTCTAAGGGACGTAACGGGAGTGTGGCGAGGCCTGCGGATAGTTTCGTGATAGTGTCACGCGAAATCGGTTTTCTGAGCCGTATTTTTGTCATGGGATTGAGTCTACTCGCGCCGTCTATAAGACGTCGGAAATGCTTGTTATCAAAGAGTTTATCGTCAAGGAAGTTGTCGATATGGTAGGCTCGGAGAGCGGCTAGGTCGGCGAGTGCGGTATCAGGCTTGACGGCCTTTTGACTAGCGTTACCAAGAAGTCGTGCGCTTAGCCATGAGGTCAATGAATGCCTTGAAACTGGCCACGCGGATAGATTCTGTAGCGCGCAGTGCTTTTCGTAATTACGCTGAACGGAGAGGTAAACGGAACGTGTGTTAGCGCTGAGTCCGTTCCAGAGCAGTTTCAGGTGGCCTGCATTGAGCTGAGGAGCTCGTGAAGAGAACCACGCAGGCGGTTCAATACCGAGAGGTCCTGCCAGTGGGGACAAATGTTAGCAATGTCTTCAAGATTATTACGTGAGAGCGCATCTGCTAATGTATTTTCCCGGGAGGGGAGCCAGTGTGGCACGATGTGGATGTCTCTCGCCGCCGCTAGGATAAGTAGGCTCTTTAGAGGTGCGTTAGGCGGACCATGAAGGAAGCCTTTCTTGAGTCCCATGTGCGCTGTGGAGCTATCCGTGTGGATAACGAGAGTATGATGGAGCCAATGGTGGCTGAAGAGTAGGAAGCCTTGGAGGATGGCGTCTACTTCTTGAGTATTGATGTGCGCGTGTGCGTCTTGAGCAAGGGCCAATGTGGCAGCATTGCTTTGATGAAGCTGGTGACAATGGGCCAGCCAGCAGTCTAATGTAGACTTGGATGAGAAGAAGAAGAGCCCCTGGCCTATACTAGAAGCATCTGTGTAGAGATGCGTGATAGTGCGGCGGCAAGGGTCAATCAGGAGTACGCCGTTGAAGAGAGACAAGGAGTCCCTCCACCATTCCAAATCGTCACGTACCTCGTAGGGGATACGGCGGCGCGCGCTACTCCCATGTGGGAAAGCGGCTTGGAAGGAGTATAGAGACTGTAGCCTTGTTCTCCCTAGCCGGACAACTCTTGAACAGAAGGCTAATAAGCCTGCGAGGCGCTCTGTTTGCTTGAGTGAGAGACTCACTGCCGTCAGACAAGTTGCGGCGTCCAATGTGGCGCTGCACAACTTTTCTGGTGGCAGACGAGCTTCCATTGCAATAGAGTCGATCTGGATACCTAGGACTGTAACACAGGTCCCTTGCTGGTCCTTTTTGGTATTGCGGGGGATACGTAGGTAGTCGGTGACCCTGTTGTAAACCTCGTCGAAGGGACCCGTAGGCTCGGACACCGAGGGAGACCGGGCAATGACGATGAAGTCGTCTAGGTAATGATTGATATGGAATGCAGGTAGGTGGCATTGGAGTATCCAATGGAATGCCTCGGCGAAGAGATTGAACAGAAATGGGGCCGTTGCGAGGCCAAAGGGGAGACAGCATTCGACGTAAGTCGAGTCATTCCACTGGAAGGCAAGGAGATGTTGGTTATCCTCGGCAACGGGGACTATTCGGAAGGCGTCCTTGATATCCCTCTTGATGATTGTGCAACCCCGGCCAGCTTGTATGACCTGCTCGTAGATATGATCAATTGTCATATATTCGATCGCTGACCAGGAGTCCGGTATGCCCTGGTTAAGGCCCTGTCCAGGCGGCCAAGATAGGTCACGGATGCGGCGCCATCCCCCATCGTGCTTAGGAACCAACCCAAGCGGTGAAACAAAGGAGGGCCTAGAGGCTAGTCTAACACGGCCGAGGTTGAGGTCTTCTGCTAGTTGGGCCGTGATTATGCCGGGTTCGTGTATGTGATGGTTAGAGGAATAGCGAAACTGCTTCTTGCCCCTATAGCCAACCTGGGCACCGTAGGTCAGAATCCCAGCGATAGTGGAGCCCAGATCGCCTGGATAGTAGCGCAGAAGATTGCTCCAGCCTTTCGCATTGAGTGGTGACGGAGAGGATTGTAATCTTGGGAGCTCTGGGTTGAACACGGGATATTGAATAGCAGTGTTTGGTCTAGGTGGTTGCCCCTGCGGTGTGAGGCTTAGGGACAAGGGGTTAAGAACAACGTTGCCGGTCTCACTAGTGCAGTTCTCAAGGGCTATCGCTTGCTACTTCTTCTTGCGGCAGGAGGAGGCACCATGCTCGCTTAGGCCGCATGCCGTGCACTCATGACGTCTCTTGCAGCCTTCCCAGGAGCACCCTATCGTATTGAACTTATCGCAAACCTCTGTCTCATTATTCGAAGACCTGGTATTCCTGGCTTGACGAGGCCGGGCTGGAGGATTTGTTGGTGACTTCGCAGGTAGGGTGAGATTGTGGCGGAGGTATTTCTCGCGAAATGGGCCTGTGACCAGGTAGTTGTCCGTCGATAGCTCTCCTTTATCCAGTATGTATTGGTGGAAATTAAGGGCAAGTGGGAGAACTGCCTCCGACCACTGATAAGTCTGAGCGAAGTCCAGGATCTGCCTCATAAACATGAGGAGGTTGGGAATTGCCTTAGGATGGTTCTCGCCGAAGAGGTACCCTACAACGGCCAGATAGGCAAGAAAGCAAGTCGTCCATATCTGAGGGTTAGGGCCCCAGTCCTTAAGCGACGCTGCTGCCTTCTTGAAGCCCACTGTGCCTCCCGATTCGGTCATTTTGAAGACTCTATCCTCCTGATCTAGCTCGGTGACTGACTTCTCTTTGAAGCGTGTAAGTTCAGTCGCCTTCAACTTCCTCTCGAAGACGCGGATAAGAAGGGCGGCGGAGACACCCGGAAATATGTCGATGAGTGATTTGACCTCAGGGGGAGGCTCACGGTTTTCTTCGAGATTATCGTCATCTTGCAGGTCCACATGAGGTCTTCTGCGGCGTAGATCGGTCTCTGCTACATCCAATTCAAGGCGTCTAGCCCTGTCTTTCTGTATCTGCCCTAACCAACTGGCACGGTCTGCCGCACCCATAGTCTCCCAAATGTGGCCCGGTGGCCAAGCGGAGTCGAGCGGGGCAGGAGTGACACTGCTAGACTGGCTGAATGTCATGGTGGAGAGAGATATAGTCAAGGCTTATCGGTGCTGTTGCCGTAGGGAAGGACGTGAAACACAAAATTGACACTTGACTGCCTGAGAGATGACGAGCTACCCGCAGAGGCCATCAACTGACTCTCGTGAGGCAGTTGTAGGAGGAAGAGGCCCTCGGAAATGTCGGTGTAGATATCACGTGAGGCTACAGACATGGTGAGGCTACAGGCATTGTGAGGCAACCCCAATAAAACCACTCCCATTAGGTCGTTTTACTCCTTTTCGTACATTTGTTGACCCTTCTTGTAATTACACGGAAAGAGTCGTCGCAAAGTATCAAAGACTGGCTTTCAAATAATCCTGACGCAAGAAAAGCCTGAGTTGAGACTGTAATACGGCTACAGATCAGACAAGATTCGACACGTGTGGTGACCTAGAAGCCGCCTTCGGATATTTTCTGCCGAACCCATTTTTGGTGATGAGAACTCGGGCCCCCACCAGCCAGCTGATCACCCTGCCAGGATCGTCTATCATTGACGAGCGTTTCTCCTGAGAGCCGCCTGGTCTGCGACGGGATGTTGCGCGTGTTTGATGAGGAAGCGGGCGTCCAAGCGGGCCCCGGGTCGGGAACAGTCTCGGACGAAATTGGTTCGAGCGGATCATCGTTTGTCCACCACAGGCAAGAAGGTTCCACATCCAAGTCAATCAGCCGGAGGTGACCACTTGCTCTGGTGTGAACGATATGACGTACAGCTGCACGTATTGGATCGCCTGCGCATACTACGATCAATCAGCGTTAGCGTAGCCTCAACAGGTACATGCTGGTGGCGACTTACCTGACACTGCGGTCATTCCGCCAGTATTATCCGGCAGGCGCGCCAAGTCCTTGGCAACGTCAATAGCTTCAAAACGGTACTTCAAACGCGTGCGGTTGCGATAACGAAGTTGATCCACTGGTCGCGCGCCAAGGATGTGTGTGGTGAATTGCAGGATCTGCATTTGGGTTAGCCCCACCCCTCACTCATATCATCAACACGGAAGGCGTCACTCACATCAAATCCTCGGTCATCCCGATGACCATGTTCGGGACAATCGTCTCGGTCAAACATCCGGTCGAGTTCCAGGATCTGTGTGATTTCATCGCCGACCCAGCGAGGATGGTCTTTGTGGTCAGCACAACAACGGGCAGTGTGTGAAAGGATAGGGCACTCACTAAAATCTTCCAGCTCCACTTGCCACAGAACTTCTAGCCGTCGCACGGAGTTTCGCCGACTTCGGCTTTCGTGAACGAGATGCCGAATGAAAGGCAGCACACGGAACAGCCCAATGCCTTCCAATACAAAGATCACGGTTCCATATTCGCCCAGGGGAGGCGAGTGTCCGTAAGGACCCAGCACGCATATCGGAAAATGAATTGTCTCATGCGCGCGATCCGCAGCTTGTGCGATTCGTTTTGTCATGCCTAGTCGAGGCTGGGTGACTATGCGTATTACGCGGGTTGTTCGCGCTACTGACGTGCTTTCCACGGTATCCACCGACGCCACGTAGAATGCAGGAAGCTGCAAGCATGCTCTGAATCCCCAATGCGGTGCCCAGAGCTGTACGTACTGCCCTGGACGCGCCGCCCACTCCACTGGCACCGTAATGTCAAGCCATAGGAGCCGATTTGAAGACCGCGCCACGGCTTGTCGAGAGGTGATTCGCCACGACCTGTGGTGCCACATGGCATGCAGACACGTCGCGATAGTCCAGATCAATCCAGCGCAGATACATCGCAGCAGGATCCAACGGTAAAAAGACCCCCGGTCAATCAAATGATACATCAAAGCGCCCATGACAATTCCGGCGAGGATATGGTGGATTTTGAGGCCTAGTTGTGGCCAGCGTCGTACCATCGCAGCCAGCGTCCAAGGTAAGATCAAGACGAGACTGGATCCGGCCTGTGTCAGACAAGTCAGTCCCAGTCAGACAAGCTGCGGGGAATGTGGGAGGCTGCCGTTGTGGCCCGTTTCACGTACCAGGAGTGGAATGATGAGAGAAGTTCCAAGGGCAGCATCGCGGGCAACTGTGCCCACGATAGACCCATGAAGCAGGCAATGTAGCACGCACATGCGACCCAGCCACCGATGGGCCCATTGGAAGGTGGTGCGTTCGACACGGTAGACGTGGGCGGGGAGATCGATGCTAAAACCGGAGCAGAGGGGAACAAGATGGGTCACTGCTAAGCATCCCGCTCGCTTCTGCACGTCCGCCCATTCCTGAGTATGAAGGCTGATCGCAATGAAGTTGGCGATCACCAGGGCTGCAAGCGCGGCGCCGTGCACGTATGTCGGAATATCCAGCCACTGGAGCACGGTTGGCGTTGGCGCCTGAAAGAAGCGTCTCCACGACACTACGCGATACAATCGGAAGGGTACATGGCCGAAGCGGCGGCTGAAGCTGTAGCAGACCCAGCATATCACTGCAAGGAGCCCACACAGCGCGAATCTGTCCGATATGGAAGTCTTGGCCAGCCATTCCGTGAAGTTTGACGCAGGGTGCGACATGCTTTGATGCAGACAGTACCGGGTATCGCAGATCTATTTGATTCACTCCCTGGCAGCCTGAACAACGCCAAGCTGAGACTGTTGGGTGGTCCAAAGTACGCTGTGAGAATGGTGCTGGTGAATAAGATAAGAAGCCTTCCTCTGTTTCACTAGGTTGATCCCCTGTTGGTAGCCACCTACAAATTCTTGGCAGAAGATCGCCGACAGCAGAAAATAAATTATAACGGCATCCAAAGTTGCGTCACGTAGATTTTTGTTTATTGTGCAATGCTTGCCGAGCAACGCAGGATAATATGATTTGAAGTTCCAAGGTCAACACTTGCCAATGTAGCGACAGGAACCTCGTTTGTTTCCTCTTGCTCATTGCACCTATCAAGTTCCTTAGGCTAGTGTTGCCGCCAAATAGGTAGCCTTCTTGCCGAGTCTTGGAAGCACTGACTCTAAAATATTTTCTCGTCCCTCAAAGTTCTACCTCTTGGAATGGATATGTTGGTCCCAGGAGCTATCATACTCCTAGGATCTATGATTTGTGTTCAAAACATCACCCAACGCATGCTTAGCTCTATGATGTCTTGTAATCGCTTCACAAAACCGGAGAACTCGCAAGATTGGCGGCTAGATACATAAATCATGTAATGAAGCCTTTATCTTTGCACCTTTCTACACGACAAAAACACGACATCGCTCTTCAAATACAGGATCCTACCTCTACCACAGATTATCTACGTTGGCCTTTTTACAGTACGATTGATTTTCAAACGAATTTTTATTCCGCATCTTATCAAAGAGTAAGAATATTAATCACGATCGTTGGGAATTTTAGTTTGCTTTTTAGCCAATATTCCTGCTTTCATCAACCATGGCGAGACCTCGCCGGGCCTGCCGACCACATCAAAAGTTGAAAATAAGATGCGGCCACGGACTGCCTTCTTGCCAGAACTGCGTTGAACGGGGTCGACCCGAACGATGTTCATACGAAGAAATAAACGACCAATCGACACAAACCGTAGAGCCATTCAACCATGGAACAAAGACCCAAGCCGAAAGTCGCAGCGGAGAAATACAGCCCACTAGGTAGCGTAGAGCCTCGGAGGACCTTCGTATTGATACAACGCCTTCTACACCAGAACGTGTTGAAGCAAAGCCGATACCAAAGGGGTGTTATCTGGAATCTCTTACACGAAGGGAACAAAAGCCGTTTTCCCACCAATACCCACACGATTTTGACTGATGCTGAAAGGGCGAAGGTCTTCTTTGAGATGTATCTCCCGGTAAATATGAGCGGCAGCCCGACATTTGAGACGCTTAGCGCTGATCATGGTGCAGACTAAACTCCCATCGCGTGTCACGCTTCCACCCTCAGCCTCTGACCCGGCTGTCGTGGACACAGGACCGCACACGATTCACCAGCTCTTGTTGGTGCTGAATTATCTCTTCGTTTCCGCCATGTTGCCTTAAGATAATGGGACCTTAGGGCGCATTTTCAGTCGCAGCGAAAGTGACTGGGAGGACAGCTTTTTACTGCAGTACGATAGAAAACTGTGGTGGCTGCTGTCTGCACGTTACGCTTTGACTCAGGCGGAAGATATACATAGCATGTCTTTGGAAGATTTAGAATTGCAAATCGCGTACCTCCTGTTCGCCCTGGGGCAACATGCGACGCCAACCCGGAGTTTTTTCCACACCTTCCAACGGCCATGTCCGCCATATCGACCTTTTGGGGTAAGAGCGAGCATCGCGCTGATTTGCTACACCTTCATGAGCATCCACGCTGCAGAGATTGGCGGATATAATCACAAGGAGATCTGGATACGTGAGCAAGAATTCTTCTCCACGATGAGCTCCCGGCTCCAGCACTCGCCACTCTTTTCAGCAGAGATTTCAGCGCACCAGTTGCAATCAATCATCCTGAGCCTTCAAAAAGCCTTCCAGCATGAAGAAATCCGAGTTGCTTGCACAAAACCTCAATCAATCTGCATTGGAAATGTCTCGGACCGAAAAGAGTACTACCGACGAGCGTTCCTGTCTTTGCACCTGATGCTATCATCGAGTATCTTGACGATAGCACTCTCAATTGGGCCAATTGGTGAGACTACGGTCCACGATAGAGCGATTCGCTATGCGGAGACTTTTGATAAGTCAAGTCCAATAGAGGATTTGAAAACAGCTTTCCAAAAGGTGCCGGAGATTTGGCAGTCAAAGCCTGACAGAATAGTAGTCACTGAAATGTTTCACGTCAAGGCATTCCAGCGAAAATACCAGGATGGCCATCTTAGTGAGTCACCAGCCGGCCCGGGCAAGAGAAAGACTGACGAGGATAAACAACAGACGGCTCGTCTCGTGTTTTGGTTTTTCATGTTTCTCTGAGCATTGCCAGGTAGTCCCGTATTGCTCATG